GTTGTAAGAATTTTGTACACATGGGTGTAAAAATTATATAACAGTTCACATGAATAAAGGCAGGATCGCTTAAAAAATATATATATATATATAATCTATTCTACACTATGCTAATATTACATTGTGTTACAACCTACTTTGTAACACTATATAGATTGTAATTTATATTGTAAGGTATATAAGTTATACATATAAACTCAAAATACTTCGATTTGGTTTTAATTAATTATTTGTTTAGCTATTGAGGCTAGGTTAAGTTGACATTAATGCTGATAGAAATTGTCATATAATTTAGCCAAATTTAATACCTATATTGTAACTTATATATTGGCCCAGATAAGTTACAGATAATTTACTGTAATTTATTATATAAAGTATGTTGTTAAGTAAGTTATAACAACCCTAACCAGAATTAAGTTATTTTATCAACAGCTTTAACTGGTATTAATAAATTTTGCCAAGATTACTTAAAATTCGTTATGCTTAATGTTAGCCTATCACTAATAAAATATAAAATTTGATTAATCTATAAATAATATAATTATATAATATATTCATAATAAAGTGAATTGAATCCAAATAGTCTATTTCATATAAACCCAATTCTAATACAATCAGGAAAATTTACCATTCAAGTTTATTTCAGATCATGTGATATAATTTTAACAAATACTATTTCATGCTTAGAATGATGTAATAAAATGATGCTAATTTGTATAATCTGAAATAAATTTAGGTAATAAACATGTCTTTTTGCAAATTAGTCTTGTTCTAGAGTTTTAATAGTTAATTATAAATCAAACAAACTCTAACATAAGTATAGTCAACTTTGATAGCAAAATATAAGATAGTTAAAAAAATACATAAATTTTTATTCAAAAAAAATTTTACAAACGTATTGAATAAAAAAGATATACAACCTTTTTTTATTTAATACTATAATACTAGTCATACTGTGTCAATAACCCTGTATCTATAGAATTATCTTAATAAATATATAGGATACTATATAATTATTCATCACACTCAAATCTTACTGGCCAATTAAAAAGATCTTTTAATATGTGATACTATTATATTTTGCATGCTTTCAAAACAAAACAGAAATAAAAGCATCAAGTTATAGCATTTCTTTTTTAAGCTCAATAATCCTAATAAATATATCAGCTACTTCAGAATCCGAGTTGATTGAATTAATGAATTCTATAGTCATATTCGAACTATATATGCTGCCAAAATTATTTCAGATTTTGGGATCTGAAATTAAAAATTTTTTTCGAAATTGTTTTTGATCTATTTTACTTAAAATCTGAAATTTTTTAATATTTTTTTGAATAGACTAAAATATAAGGAACATAAATATATAAATTTTATTTGCACTTCCTTATAAAAAATTTTAATTTATTTTTGAAAACCCGAAATAGGCTTTTTTTAAAAATCAATTTTGGTGGCATGTATAATTTGAACATATTGAAAATAGTTATATGAATTTGGAAGACATTGAACTTGATAATTCTTTAAATAACACAAAAAAAATTGCAAGTGATATGGATATAATTGAAAATAATGTAGTTATACCAGAACTATTAGATACAAATAGTAAATAAGACACATATACCAATGCTATTTAATTATTCAATTCATCATAATACTGCTTAGTACTAATATAAATACCTTTGTTAGTTACTATAATGTCAGAGAACATACTGTATCTATAGACATAACCTTCAATTCGTGAAATAAGGTTGAATATTTTTTTTTGGAATATAGTGTACGAAACAGTTTTGCAGTCAACAAATATAGAAAAAAGTTCTAAAACAGGAATAGTAAAAAACAGAACTAATAATCATAATCAACTCTTCCCAATAATCATTTGGACCAAAATTTCTCATCAAAGAAAAACCAACTTTTGTTGGAAAGTCATCTTAGTCTAACATAATAGTTTGTCTAGAGGTCAATAGTTTTCTGTTTTAAAACTTTTCTATAATTGTGTATTTTACATACAAGCCAAGAGTGTTGATAAACAAGATAACTAGCAGAAGATATATGCTCTTGGATACAAAATCTTGGTAAAGGGACTAGAGTTTTCTTTATTAATGAAGTTACCCAGGCTGTTTTTCCTAAAGAAAAATATAGGGAAAACAACAAAAGCTGATTTTTCTTTAAGTCACACTCTTTTATCTGGCCAAGTGGTTCCTCCTTTACTTCTATTCACCTTTCTGTCAGTTTTCCAAAATTTTTCAAAAAAGTGGGGATTTGGCTTACCCCCTCCAAAAGATCAACATTGTTTATCTCCAAATTTAGACAGATCAGTAGATAGCAATACGTGTTCAAAAAAGGATATGATATTCAAGTACTAGAACAGGTCCTAGTCAAAAAAGAAATCTCTGATTGTGGTAGCAAGTGTTTGAGATATAGGTCTATGGATGATAGCAGCATCTGCTTGAGATATAAATTAGGTTTATAAAAAATCCAAAGTTGGGTTGGAAAGAAAAATAATAATAAAGCATAGTCTTATAGTAAAGATATACAGATGTTGCTCTTGTATATAATTTTTATTAACCTAGCATGGGTTATAATAGTGCATCTCCATTTCTTATATATGTCAGGTTCGCCTGTCTTTTTTTTTGCTTTTTTTATCTTTTTCTCTTTATGTATAAATAGATTGTTCAATTTTTGCCTTAAATTTTCGATTTTTCATAAATTTTGGCATTATTTTCTTCTTTTATACAAACGTAAAAAATTTAATTATTTTGCCAGGATCTAGGTAGAAAAAGTTTTAAAGCAAGATAGGTGATCTTAACATAGTAGACAACAACCTGTCTATCATCAAGAAAGTACTTTTAGTTAGTACAAAATTTGACAAAAATGTTGAATTCTGAGTGAAGCTAATAGTTGTTATAGCAAGTTGCATTGGGTATTTTGCTTAATAAGTTTTTATTAGATTAGAATATTGCACTATAAGAATGCAAATACTTTGTACTTTTATTAATTAGTAGTTCCAATGAATAAAGACAAGATTGTTTAAAAAAAAAAAAAAGTAAAAAACAGAACTTTTTGTTATGAATTTTATAGAATATATAAATCTAAAAAAAGTTTGACAGCAGCCCAAAATGGAACACAACATAATACAAAAATGAAAAAGAAAAATTGCTCTTGGTATTGTAATCTCTTGATAGATCAGACCAGATTACAAATTCAAATTACAATACTAAATAATAGATATAACTATATCCTTGTACTAGAAGCCCAAAAGTTTGGATCTAATACTAGGCTTTAAATGAAAAAGCTATAAAAGAAATTAAAATAATGTCTAAACATGAAAACTTATCAATTATATTACAAAAAAAGCTTCTTAAAGCCTATTTTTCAGATTTGAATATTCAAGATAATGATCTTGCTAATACTATTAGCAAAATCAAAAGAACAAATAACCCTAATAAGAAAAATGATGCATTAACTTTACTTACCTTATTAATAGAAAAAAAACAAGTAACCCATGATAGGTAGTTAAATTTGAACTTAATGAGGAAAATCATTTGATTCGACTTTTCTAGATATTACCAAAACAAATAAACCTTTGGTTGAAGTATTATAATGTGGTAGTTAATGATAATATGGCACAAACAAATCAATATCGAATGCTCTTATTTCTCTTTATTATTATTGTTGATAACAATAATAAAACAAAACTTGTAGATCAAGCATTAGTTACTAATAAAACACTAAACACATATATATGGATTCTAAAATGTGTTGATAAAACTATATACAAGCAACCTATTATGATATTTACAAATGCAGACTCTACTTTGAATACTGCCATTTCAGCTGCTTTTCCAACTATATATATAGTTTATTGTATTTTTCATATCAGACAAAATCTTTTTAAAAATTTAAAGTCAAAACTAGAAAATAAATAAGATGAATTTATAAAGAAATTCTATGAATATAAAAACAGCTTATGTGTGACTTTGTTTGAAAAATAGTAAAAAACCTTATTTAAAAATTATCTAGTAGTCAACAATTATTTGCTTAAAGCCCTTTATCCAAATTGTTGATCCTGGATATGTACCTATTTGTATAGGGTTTTTACTGCTAGCATTTAAAGCACCTCTTGTATAGAAGGTTATTAAGAAAAAATTAGTGACAAATATCACATTATATGAACTCACCAATTATTTAGATCAATAGTTAAAAGATAAAATATAGTAAAAAAAGTTTCATGAATACAAATTATTAACAACAATAGCAATGATATCTACAGCTAGACAAGTTCTATTTCTCACAGTAGTTAAAGTACTAGATGAATATTTAACTGAGGTGATTAACAACATGATTAAAGTGGAAATGAGCTAGTGTCTTTTTTTTTGTGCAAAAATGTTTGAACTTACAAATGAAGATTTGATTAAGGAACAGGTAATATAGAAGAGATTAATGAACTTATATATGTGTTTTAAACAATAAACTAACAACAATAAATATGAATAGAAAACTATTGAACAAATTCAGAATAGATTTATTGAAGATCAATATGATACAAGAAATATAACACTCCAGGCTATAATTGATGAGATTGGAAGTGATGATATAAAGCATTATGTCTATTTTGTTGCAGTTGTTAATCTGATTTTTTTTTTATGTTTATGCCTAATAAGCACTAACAAAGTCATTATTTGTTATCATTATTTTTATAGAATGATGCACTCAAGTATATCGACTTTTCACATATTAATAATACCTATTTGATGGTATAAAGATTCATATCAAAATAATATAACATCAGTAGGAGGAGATAATATAATAGCATTTGATTATGAAAAAAGTGTTGTTGACTCAGACCTTAATAGTATTCTAGCATGAAAACCAATTACTATGCCAATTACTGCTTCAATTACTAAAAATGATATTAACAAAAGAAATCGTTATAGACATATTTGGGGACTTGTACAAGAAGTTACTTTGCTTGCAGTAGATAATGACAATAATGAGATAATTCAGATTATAAAGAACTATATTGATAGAAAAAAAAGAGTAAATGCCAAATGTTCTGTAGATCAACAAATTACTATAACTAATTAGAAGCAAAAAAGTATAACTAATTAATTTTTATCTGATGATATAGTCGAAGATAATTAAAATACATGTGATTTAGAAAATGAATATATATGTGAAGAATTAGTTATTTCTGTTTTGAAGCCTGCATTAAGTTTTGCTAGTATCTAAAACTCTTCTAAGATTGTTAATAGAGGAAGACCAAAGAAACAAAGATATATTAGTAGTGTTAAAAAGAAACAAAAATGTTGGTAAGTTCAACCTGAGAGTCTTATAAAAGCTGCACATATAGTAAAGTTGGCTATAATTTAGCATTCTATAAGAAAGAAAAGTAGTTAAACCAATATACAGTAAATCAATTTTATCACATTTTTTTCAAAAATAGCTATTTTTTTTAGAAAAGTGTATATAGTAATAAAATTTTTATATATATATCGGCAGATTTGCAGAATGGATCTAAATTCAGGTCCCTGGATTTAACAATTGCGGAATGCATAATAGCTAAAATTTTGGGGTCAGTTTTACAATCGCATTGTTAAAATATATGGACCTTAATTTAGGTCAATTCCGCAAATTTGCCAATATGATATACTTATAAACATACTATTTAGTAAGTTTAAATTTGCAATTTTTTTTTTTTTTTTTTTAAAAAAAAAAACGCATCTAAGCGTAACCTTTATTTATAATCCCAATTTATAAACTGATTTGAATACATATATAAATTAATATTAGAGTATATTATTATAAGGAAAATTTAAGAGTTGCAAGCAGCTTATTAGCTGCTTTAGACTTAGAACTAATTTTACTATAGGATAAAATTTGCAATTTATATAACCCAAGTCAATTTAACAATTCTGTTTTAAACCTTAGATTGAACCTGCAAAGCACAATTACTTAATACATTAGTTTGCAGATTTATTAGTAAAATATACGATTTTAGGATGATTTTTTTAATGACTTTTTATAATACGTGATATATAGTGGTATCGTATCCAAAAGCAATATATAAGATTATAACAGGGGTGCGACATATATTTAACTTTTAAATATTATTAATCTATTTTGAAATTATTTAAAATTAATAAAGCATAATGAAAAATTTTTAATTACAAGCTTTGAAGATAAAAATAGCTATATAAAAAGAGAAATAGATGGAAAAGAATTAAATAATATCAAAAAAGTATAAAGCTTTTAATTTTTAATTATTTTAATTAACTTTGAAATAATTATTTTAATTAACTTTGAAATAATTATTTTATATTAAAATATTTAAATTATTAAGGAAAATAATAGAAAATATAAAAATATTTTAAATAGCTCTGAAAAGATTTGAATATTTAATCAATTTATAATTAAGTCTAATATTATTTAATATTAATAAATAGGATTTAGGCTTTTGTACTACTGGTAGTACATTTATTAAATGCTCTAAAAAATTATTTTTTAAAAAACTTTTTATATCAAAAAATCTGATAATTGCTATAGTATTACAGAAATTAATTTATTTTAATATTATTAATAAAATTGCTAAGAAATAATTTTTTTTTAAATT